CCCCCCCCCCCCCCCCCCCCCGGGGGGGGGGGGGTGACGGGGCTATAAAAGGTGCCCTAAACATATGCTGGGATCTCGTCTTTTGCGCGCCAACCATGACTCGCAAGCGCAAAACACACGGTCGAAAGAATCGAACAAGAAACCATTCTATCTCCCCCCTCCTCCTCCTCCTCGCCGCCCCATCCCACAGACAGGTAAGGTGAGTCCCCTCACCCTGGCAGCCTCGGATGTTCGTTATATTTTAGACTGGCGACTGTGCCGAAGGCGGACAAGCACTGACCATGCTGCCGGGAGAGGAGTGCTGGGTCCCCATGCTTTCAACGGCCCCGATGACAATGACCTATTCCTCCTACGAACCTGCGCAGAACACCGGCCCTTCCTGACCAACACCTACTTCCGCCTTCCGATGAGAGAGAAGGCCATCTATATGCGCCCTCGGTCACGACACTTGCACTTGCTGGACTATGTCCTCGTTCGGAGGCGAGAACAGCGGGACGTGCTGGTGACAAAGGCGATCACCGGTGCTGAAGAATGGACCGATCATCGCCTCGTCATCTCCGAGACGAGGATTCGCTTAAAACCTCACAGGAGACCTCAAGGTAAGCGACCCCCGGGTAAGCTAAGTATTGCTTTGTTGCCTTTGCCTGCTCACCATCTCCATTTCAGCAATGAGCTAGCTCAACGGCTAGCCGACCTTCCAGTCACCGCTGCATCCGCCGGCGAGAACGCCTCCGTGGATAACCGATGGTGTCAACTTAGGGACATGGTACAGTCAACCTCCCTGACTGTCCTTGATCGCTCAGGTCGCCAACATCAGGACTGGTTCGACGACTATGACGACGCCATTTACAACCTACTTGCCGAGAAGAACCGCCTGCACAAAGCCTACGTCAATCGCCCTACTGACGACAACAAAGCAGCCTTCTACTTTAGTTGCTGCCTTATGTTCGACAGTGGCTGCGCGAGGTGCCGGAGACCTGGACGGCTCGCAAGGCCAAGGAGATTCAAGGATACGCGGATCGTAAAGAATGGAAAAAAGTCTCCGCAATCAGAGCCGTTTAGTTCGCCGATCAAAGCAACTACACCTATTCTCAGCGCCGATGAAACCATCCTATTGACTGAAAAGACACATATTCTACGACGAAGAGCCGAGCACTTCAGAGGCTTCCTCAACCACCGCTCCAACATCTCTGAGGCCGCCATCCCCCCTCTGCCTGAAGTGGAGTCCAACGCCGACCTCGACCTCCCGCCCTCTCTCCGCGAAACCATCAAGGCTGTGCAACAGCTATCCAACGGAAATGCATCCGGATCGGATGTGATCCCTGCTGAGATCTACAAGCACGGTGGTCCCCAAGTAATGGATCATCTGACGGCGCTCTTCCAGGAGATGTGACGCCAAAAGGAAGTCCCGCAGGATTTCAAGGACGTCACAATCGTTCACCTCTACAGGCGGGATGGGAACCACCAAACCTGCGATAATCACTAGGGCATTTCCTTGCTGAACATCGCCGGGAAAATATTCGCTCACCTTCTTCTGAAGCGCCTGAACAATCATTTGGGACAGGGTATCCTACCGGAAAGCCAATGAGACTTCGGCCGTCATCGTGGAGCCACCGACATGATCTTCGCCGCCCGCCGACTACAGAAGCGTCAGGAGATGCCGGTCCACCCCTACTCTACCTTCGTTGATCTGACGAAAGCCTTCGACACAGTGAATCGCGATCGACTGTGCAAAATCATGCAAAAATTCGGCTGTCTCGCACGATTCACTCAGATGGTGCGTCGGCTCAATTATGGCATGACGGTGTGCCTCACGGACAATGTAGTCGTCTCAGATACATTCACAGTGACCAATGGAGTGAAGTAGGACTGCGTCCCTACGACTACCCTCTTCGGTCTCATGTTCTCGGCCACGCTAATGGACACAAACTGTGACGAACACCCTGGAATGCGCGTCGTCTACAGGAAGGACGACCAACTCTTCAATCAGGGGTGGATGCACTTCCAGTCATATGCAGCCTCTACTTCCGTCCATGAACTTCTCTTCACTGACGACTGCACTCTCAACGCCACCTCCGAAAGGGACGTGGAAAGGAGCCTGAACCTCTTCGCTGCTGCATTTGACAACTTCGGCCTTTTCATCGATACACAGAAGACGGTGGTTTTGCCTCAACCGCTATCCGACGCTGACCACGTCGCACCCCAAATCAACGTGAGCAGAACCCAACTGCAAGTCGTGGACAACTTCACCTACCTGGGCTGCACCCTCTCTCGCAACACCAAGATCGACGATGAAGTGGCCTGTCGGATCTCAAAAGCCAGTCAAGCCTTCTGCCGTCTGTAAAGCACAGTCTGAAATCGCCACGGTCTCCATCTCAACACCAAACGGAAGATGCGCAATGTGGTTATCCTATCGAGGTTGCTGTATGGAGCGGAGGCTTGGACGGTATACAAGAAGCAGGCACGAAGATTTAACCACTTCCACCTCAGCTGTCTTCGACGGATATAAAAGTTGAGGTGGCAGGACCTGATTCTGTACACGGAGACACTGGAACGGATGGGAATCATCAGCGCCTACGCCATACCAAGACGACTGCAACTGCGCTGGAGCGGCCATCTCGTGCCCATGGACGACGAGCAGTCACCCAAACGACTCTTCCATGGAGATATCGCCACGGCATCCCGCCGACAAGGGGGTCAATTGCGTCGCTACAAGGATACTCTGCAGACTTCCCTGAGGCGTTTGCATAATCGACCCGGCCAACTGGGAAGACCTCTTCAAGACCTACCAACCTGGCGGAGAACAGTGATGACAGGCACAGAGATCCTCGAAGCCAACTGCATCACCGCCGCCAAAGCCAGACACCAAGCTCGTAAATCTCAACCGCCCCCGTCTCGCAACGTCAACAGTCAACCGATTCCTACATTTCCACGATGCCAGCGGACGTTTCGAGCACCAGTCGGTCACACTAGACATCTTCCTGCCAACTGCAGCACCCGGACGACACTATCGGATGTCCCCCATCTATATCTGCCTCGCTATCCCCCCCCCCCAATAGGACGGTCAACACTGACCGCACTCCTGGACCCCCACTGCCATCCTCCTTCCTCGCCTTAACATCCGCTGTGACGGCTCCTGCACCTACCGCCACTGCACTCAATCATAACACACCCACAATGACCAACCTCACCACCGCCAATACCAGCGATATGGACTCGGTCCATGCTTGTCCTCATTACGACTGAGCCCTCACCTCATACATCCGCCTGGTCGGTCGCTTGCGAATACGTTGCACAGAGACCGGCGAGCCAACGCCTAGAGCAGACACATACAGTCGCTGCATCCTCCTCGACTGCCCTCATTTCACCCGCACATTCACTCACAGCACGGGCCTATTAGGCCAAATGTACATTCACGGAAATCTGTGGCAGACAACCGCCGGCTACACCAAACCTTCACTTATTTCCCCACCTGCATTATACAACATCAACACCCTATTACAAACATAAACTGTCAGCTCCCACGTATGTGGGAAGGGGGCGTCTCGGCTCCGCCTCCATGCGCCCTCTACTGCTTGTGTGATCCGAGTCTGAGGCTATCACGGTGCTTCAAGCGCGTGGCTTGGAAGACTGCTGACCGACGCTCCCAATTCAGTCCACGCAGTCTGCTCAGTTATGTAAGTGCTTGTATGGAGTGGCAGACTGGTGGGCTGAGAGTCAGGCTGAAACGGCTCCTTCCTAACATGACATACGGCCCTCTCACGAATGTGAGATTTACGCCGCCAAATCCCCGTTGTGTAAAATCCTGATGCTTGTGTTTAAGTGGCCACGTCGTACATGTGGCGTGGGCAGACAGGGTCACTAGATATGTCAGCCACTTTGCCCATTCCCCGCACCCGTCAATTGACCGGCTCGGACAGTGACTAGGGCCTGGAAATGGGAAGAGAGAGAGAGACAGAGAGAGAGTGAGGTCGACGACCCAGCGCATTTTGCTCACTATAAGCATTCTGACACGCTTGAAGATATCACGATGCGCTAAAAGCCGTGGCTTGGAAGGTTGCCAACAGACAGGATAATTTGGACCTCGAAGTCGGCCCGGTGTTGTGTGTGGGATCCGTGCCAGGTGTGACGGCACGCCTGGGGGCGGCTTCGGCTGTGTCGGCCACTTTTGTTTTTTTGTTGAAATTCTGGTCATTTGTTGTGTGGACCGGGGGTGTGGAGTGGAGCGCCAATGCGCGGGCTCGACTGCGCCATTGGTCTGCGCCCTCCCCCCGCCTCCGGTCTTTGTGAGTACGTCTTGACGCCGTGCCTGCTTCAACTTGTTGTGGATCACACTGTGGGTGGGTGCGTGTTATGCCCCCAGACGGGCCACGTGTTAGATGCGCTGAACCAACACGTGGCCACATCGGATACTGGCAGACGCTATCTATGCGCAATAACAAATGCCAACATGTAGGGGGTGCGCTGGCGGTCCCTGTTGTCGACAGCCGTCACGACCTCCATTGTTGTGGCGGCAAAAAATCCTGGTCATTTGTGTGTGGATCAGGGGGTGCTGAGTGGAGCGCCAAGGCGAGGACCCGTCCAAGGCATCCACCTGCGGCCTCCCTCGTCTCCGGTCTTCTTGACTCTGTCTTGACGCCGGGCTCGGGCGAGGGAGGAGGAGAGGGTGTAGGTAGATGCAGCGCAAGTCTACTGGCACTACAAACCCCCTGCGGAAGTCACCGTCTCTGCTCCCACCTCTACTGCTGTGGAGCACACGGTGTACATCATCGAAATCGATGGTCGAACTATCGTGTGTGGCGGGGCTGTGCCCACAAAACGGGCCACGTGGTAGATGCGCTGGACAGCAGGCGTTACTAGGAATGCGCACCCATAAATGTCAACACTGGGGGTGTGACGGCATGCCCAAGTGCAAGCTTACGTCGCGCCATTTTGAATCAGAGACGCCGCCCTTTATCTTGGTTTGTAAAATCCTGGCCAGTGTACGTTGTAGACGTATAATGGTACGTCTAGATGCGACCACGTGCAACCACCTGTGTTCTCTCCGTCTCCGGTCTTCTTGACCATGTCCATACACCGGGCCCAGGTGTGGAAGGAAGGTAGGATGCGGTAGCTGCCGTGCAGCTCTTCCATTCTTGTAAACGAATTAACACGCAAGTCACCGTTCCTGTTCTCACTCTGCTTTGGAGCACACGACGGATATACTCATTAACGACGGTCGAACTGTAATGTTACGGGCCTTGTAAGGTTATGCCGGGTTCATCTAAATGTATCCATGAATTTGATGTGACTATAAACGGCAAAGTTGGTCCCCATCCACGGCATCCAGTATAGCCACGATTATTGGTAGTGATTTCCTGAATGATTTCTCCCTCCCCTACCCGATAACCCCTCCTTCCCAGCTGTAATTTTTTCGGCAGATTTTCAGAGAAGGGGCAGCGATAAGGGCCTTAGAAGGATCAGTTTCTGAAACAAGCATTTTGTTCGTGTGACGTTTCGGACTGAGGTCCAAATCCATTATTAGGAACAGACAGATATGGGCAAAGCTTTGCCGAAATGTCCATGAAAGCGAAAAACGTGATGCAACTTCTGAGCTGCAAAAGCCATCAGCAAAGTGGCCACAAGCGAAGTTGCAGAAAGGAACCACATCAGCCTGCCAAGATGCATTGCAACTAGTCGGAAGACAAGGCTACTGAATTACAATAGCCGCGGTGGATGCTTGTAGGGAAGAACTACCTGCGCAAGGCCGAGTACTGGTCTATGCGCAAACGAGACGATTGACCAAATTCAACCGACCCCAAAGTTTGGCAGGTACTACGTACCCAAAGAACGTCTCGAAAGTCATCAACCGCCTTCTCTTGGAGTTAAGGTTGCAAACAAACGAAGGCAAGCACCAGACGCCAGGTGATGAGGTCGAGAGATCCTCAGCCATAACAGGAAATGCCTGGAGTCGTGTACGGACTCTGATACAGTTGTGGGTAAAGCAACTACTTCGGAAAACCTAGAAGACTACTCTGACCACGGATGGCCAAACGCGCAGCAGCAGTGGGAAGGAACGGACCCAACGTCTATGGCGTGGGACCCGGCCACACATTCAAGTTCGATGAGGAGGGAGGCGACAATCGAGTGAAACGTGAGCTGCTTGAACCATGGTTCTCCAGCCCTCGGTCGACTAACAAGCGCAGTGGTGAAACATTGTTTGCGCAAAGTGCGGGGATTACGCGGACGACCACTGTTCCCGGCGCCAGTGTGGGTGAGCCAAATGGCCCAGCATTTATCACACCAGGGACTAGCACGAAGGACGAGATTTCGGCAATTAAAAACTCGGCCACTGGCAATTAAGCGTTTATCGCAGCGCGCGCAACCACCTTCCGCGAATGCGCGGGCCGCCAATTTTGATAGGTATGAAGTGGCATCCTATGAACACCGCAACACTTGAGCGAAACGCTGTCTTTATCCGGTCGTGTTTCTGAAGATGGATTCAAACGAGAGTCAAACTCTTCAAGCGAAAAAAGTCTTCTTTCATTGATCCTGTTTCCTTCTTTCAGGTTGTTTAAAGGAATTCGCATTTTCTGTTGTATTGGCAAGACTTGCTGTCTTCTGATAGAAAGCGACTACCTTCAACTCCAGTAAGTTTAGATGTTTGAAATGCCTGAGTAGGTTTACGACCAATCAATGCATTTGCTTATTAATTTGCTGACAGCACAGATACTAGCAAAAATCGAGAAACCTAGTTCACTGAGTTTATTAAGCGGCATCATGTAGCTGCAAAGGATTCAACCCAACAGTGAGTCCCGCAGCCCTCCGTGGGTTTTTTGATACATAATCCAGTTTTCCATGCTGAATTTTCCGATTTCCTTAAAAATTATCGTTTGAATTCGGGACAACTACTTCGAGACAAACGTTCGTATCGGCTTTTGGGTCAAGCGTGAAAACCTCTATGCACGCCCTAACTGAATAATTTTCTTCACGGATGCTTGAGTAAGGACCGACTAGTTTCGAAGATTTCGACAGCAATTTGAGATAAATGTTGCCTCTTTACTATGGCCGGTTTTCTCGTTTCTACACAACCGTAATTTAAATCTAACTTGGCCAATGTACCCATAAGGGCGATCAGGAAATTAGATAAAACGCACCGCATCAGGGCGCTCACCAGACCCTAAACGGCTTTGCTACGATAGGTGTGCTAACTCCTGAAATGTTAACCGAAATTCCGAAATGAGTTTTTGTTTCGAAAAGATTACTTAAAAAGGTTTTTAAATTACTCATCTTTTAGCGTAATTATATAAAAATTCAGTTACTTTAGAATGTGGGCTTTCGAACGAACTTCTTCCCGGACGCATGCAGAAACCACATTCTGTATAAAATCACTACTTATGGAGTATGGGATTCCTCATTGATTTTTGATACCCTTAAAAATTCATCTATATTTCAAGGAAGACATGCATATGAAAATTTGGTCTTTCATTCACTGGGTAGAAAATTACGTCATCTTTCAATTGTATACTCGAGGAAAGTGTATAATTTGGTTGTTAAAATGTTTCTGTGAGATTCTTAATATCGTGAAATGTCCGTTCATAAAACATCGTGCCTCTCAATTCACTAATATTGCTTGCAATGTTTACAACGTGGATTAAATCCACTGCTCAATTTTATGAACCCCATATGATGTACTATTAATACCGTAGAGAAATGTGTGGTTTTCTGTACGCGGAAAATATATGACTTGCAGTTTGAAAATCCCGAAGAAAAGTGTAACGGTAGGTAGGGGTTAGAAGTTATCGTGTAATCGGAAAACTTTTTAAAAACCGAATTATACCCTTCCTTCGAGCATAACACTGGAAGAAGACGTAATTTTCTACATGATAAGCGGAAGAATGAATATTTTATGCATGTTTTCCAGGAAATATAATAAAATTCTTAAGGGCATCCACAATCAGTGAGAAAGATGTATGCTACACAAGTAGTCATTTTTACACAGTATACTTTTTGCATGTTGGTGAAAAGAAGTTCGTTCGGGAGCCGGCATCCTGAGGTAACTGAATTATTATATAATTACGCTAAAAGAGGATTACTTTTAAAACCATACTTGAGTAATCTGTACGAAACGTAAACTTATTTCTGAATTTCGGTCAACATTTCGTGAGTTAACACACCTACTATATATATGTGTGGTCTGCGGGTTTTCGTTGCTGTTGCTCAATGACAGCTACTAAACTACTCGCCTCAGGGTTCAGCATACCGTA